ACCAGCCTCCGAGTCAGCAGGCGCAGCCTTGACCTCGGGTTCTGGTGAGCTGGGGTTCGAGTTGCGGTCGGCCATGACCTGGTGCTCCTCGATGCCGTGCTGGGGCACGAAGCGAACACCCTCGCCTGCAGGCTCGGTCTGGTGGGGGGTCCAGGCAAGGAAGTCACGGCGGACCTCGACGTAGTCGTACGAGAACTCGCCATGCTGGTCATCATCCATGCCGAGGAGCTCGGCCTCCTCAGAGGCGCGGAGCTTGAGACCAGGGATCATGTCAATGGCCTTGGCGATGAGGGCCGAGACGACGAACGAGTAAGCAGAGGCGGCGACGATGAAAGCAATCTGGATGTACATCTGCTTCCAGTTGCCGTCGATCCAGCCACCCTGGATGCCGTTTGTTGACACCGTCGAGGCCGATGATGTACTCGGTAAGCGAAGAAGGCGTTGAAGATGAGGCCGACGATCCCACCGATGCCGTGCTCAGCGAAAGACATCGAGCGAGTCGTCAATCTTGAGGATGAACTTGACCTTGGTGCCGAAGTTGCATGCGACACCGGCAACGACACCGAGGATGATGGAAGCCCAGGGAGGGATAAAGCCGGAGCAGGGAGTGGCGGCGACAAGACCGGAGATGGTGCCTGAGCACCAGCCGACGAGGGACCACTTCTTGGCAAGGCGGTAATCAAGCAGGCACCAAGCCATGGCGGCGAACATGGCAGTCAGGCACGAGTTCCACGAAGCCATGACGGCACGGAGGTTGGCGCCAAAGGCAGAACCACCGTTGAAGCCGAGCCAGCCGAACCATAGGAAGACGGTGCCGAGGGTGATGAGCGAGATGTTGTGAGGGCGGAAGTTCAGCATCATCTTCTCGTTGCGGCGGCCGAGGACCCAGGAGTAAGCGAGAGCGGACATGCCGGAGCCAATCTCGACGGGGCCACCACCGGCGTAGTCGAGAACGCCGTAGTTGAAAGCCCAGCCGTTGACGTTCCAGACCCAGCAGGCTAGGGGGCAGTAGACGAGGGTGGCCCAGAAGAAGATGAAGACCATGCAGGGAATGACGCGACCGCGCTCGGCAGTGGCACCGGCGGTCAGGGCGGCGGTGACGGCGAGGAACATCATTTGGTAGAAAGAGTAGAGAAGCGCGGGGACCAGAGGCGAGCCGGGCGAGGGCTGTCCGAGGGTGTTCTTGAGTCCGAAGTGACGCATGTTACCGATGAAACCGTTGGTGGCGGTCTCGCTGAAGGCGAAGGGTGTAACCCCAGAAGTACCATTGGAAAACACAAACGGAGAAGGTCATCATGGCGACCCAGAGCTGCGAGAGAGCCGACTTGCGACGGGCGAGACCCGAGTAAAGGAAAGCGATACCGGGAATCATCATGAGGACCATGCAAGCGGAGACGAGAATATAGGCCTGGTCGCCGCTCTGATACCACTGGTTAAGGTTCTCGGTGACTGTTGGGCGAACTTGGTTAGTGGTGTCGTGAGGAGATCACAGTAGGGGCTTCAGCGTACCGGAATCACCGCCAGTATCGGGATTCGTGCCATTGAACTCCGTGGGAGCTCCCACCCAACTGTACGACATGATGGGCTGTGTCGTGTGTGAGAGATGTCAAAGGACAAGGTGTGTCGATGAAGGGAAAAGGTGGTCGAGAGTTCGACTGTCGGAAGGGTGTGTGAGTCTTTGTCGGGGTGCAGAGACAAGAGACTTCTATGGGTGGAAGTGGGGTATCACCAGAGACGGATGGAGTCGAGACTGGAGAGCGAGAAACCTTTCGAGACGGGACAGCGAGGAGGGATGGACGCAAGAGATATATATGAACCAGATGCGGTGGTAGGGGAGGGGCCCATTGGCAGCGCGGTCTGGGGAAAAGATAGAGAAGACCCAGAGATAGTTAGGACCTCCAAGCGGACCTTGCTCTGCGACGGAGCGTCGTATCTCTCAGTCGAGCATCCCATCCCGCGACCCATCCCATTCATGAC